AGCAGTTTGAAGTTGGGGTTTTTTTGTGGGGGGGTTGGAGGGCAGAAGAGCAAGGTTTATTGAGCTATAGCAACATGATAGAACAAAACTCCCAAGGAGGGAGGGGACCGGAGGAGGTTGCCCAGGAATTGGAAGTTTAAATGACTGTTTTCAAACACAGTTTTACGAAGACTCTTCTCTTTGTTCTATCATCCATTTTGTTTAAAAAAAAAAACAAAAAAAAAAAACTTATTCTTTTCTTATAGTTCTTCAAGTACTGAAGTACTTGAACAAAATATACATCTGAATGTTACTCATTTTCTCAGGGAAGCCCAAGAGGGTAACATTCTTCTTCTTTTCTTTTTTTCTCTTTAGATTTTTATTTATTTGTCAGAGAGAGAGAGCATGATCAGGGAGAGGGGCAGGCAGAGGGAGAAGCAGGCTCCCTGCTGAGCAAGGAGCCTGATGTGGGGCTCATCCCAGGACACTGGGATCACGACCTGAGCCAAAGGCAGACACTTAACTGACAGAACCACCCAGGAGTCCCAGAGGGTAACATTCCTAAAGCACAAAAATGAGACTTTTAAGTCCATAATTGCTTTTACCTTGTAATTTTACTCTTCATCGTATGTGAAAAGTCAGTAGATAAACATGCATGGGAGATACACAAGGAGAAGGGTTGAAAACAAGAACACTTAATATGGCTGCACTGACGTTCCTTATCCTCTCTCTCCTTCTACCTGCAGACCTAACTATGCCAACCCAGATCTATGGGTCATCTCTTAACCAACTGTACTCCTCCTTACAGGACTGGACAGAGATAGCCCATTAAAGTTGTTCTCTTAAATCCATACCACTCCCCTCAGGTGTGCCCTGGGAGGGAGGAAACACTTGGGAAGAGCAGATAAAGTTAAGCATACTGGCATCATTCACATATCTGTCAGAAAATTGTGGAATTTTTAAAAATCTCTTGAGGGAGGCCAAAGTTAACCTGTTTGAAACTGACCACTGAGAGTTGGCCTTCTGTCTAAAGGTTTGGCTGTAAGTAAACAAACAACAAAAAAAATTAAAGACCTTGTTTTTGATCAGACTGTTCAAAGAAAGACTTTTGTGGGTAAAAGTTCACTAGGCTGAAACAATAGAAACATTTGAGAGTGGAATATGGCCTTCACCTTTAAAGCAGACGTCTTTGTCCACCTTTGCTGGCCTCCTTCAAGAGCATGGACGTGACTTCACCTCTCAGAATATTTTGCATGTTCCTCTTTGATATTTGGAGAGTCAGAACATACTATGTTCAGCAGTTGGTCATTTAGGTCTAGGAAAAGCTGGCAACAACTTTCAGCAGGGTTGGTCTTTACTCAGCAAATAACCTCTTGAAGAATTTTTAATGATTAAAAAGCAATAGGAAAAAAGTAACAGAAACTCTCTCACTCCCATGGCTCTATATTAATCCCACTGCAGATTCTCAAACTGCTTCTAAAAACCACCCAGAACTGAAAAAGTAGCCAGCCTGGCCCTTCCCCTTACCTTTTAATATTTAAGAGATAGAAAAATGAACTTAATCCTTAATTAATGAAGCTCTAAGTGAGGAAAGGCCAAAAATAATTACTCTTTCAAGAGTATTAAGGTAATTACATGTCCATGCATTTGCCCTTGTGTTTTAGTTGTGGCAACCATATGTCCTAAAATTTCAGGGCAAGTCCAGATTTTATGTATCTTCTCACAGAAGTCCTTTACTCCTTAGATTATAAAGTTAAGAAAATTTTCAGTTTGTAAAATATGATTATTTTAGATGTAGCCTCATAGTCTCTGTTAAAAATAATGGTATGAGAAGCTGTTTGTTAACCTTAAGACTAAACTTAGTTTTTTTACCAGCAAAATGGGTTTATTCGGGAATAAGGGAGAATTGCAATTTGAGACACACAAGCTATGACAAAACTATAGGAAAGTCCAGTAAACAAAAGAGAGGAACCTTATTTTATGGAGAAAAAGGTTGGGAGGGGTTGTTTTGTTTGTTTGTTTGTTTGTTTGTTTTTTAAAGATTTTATTTATTTATTTGACAGAGATCACAAGCAGGCAGAGAGGCAGGCAGAGAGAGAGGAGGAAGCAGGCTCCCTGCTGAGCAGAGAGCCCCATGCGGGGCTCGATCCCAGGACTCTGAGATCATGACCCGAGCCGAAGGCAGCAGCTTAACCCACTGAGCCACCAGGCGCCCCGGGAGGGGTTGTTTTGAATGAAAGTCCATTGAAGGAAAGCAAGAGTTCAGGGTGATGATGCTTTCTCATTAACTGGGTTGCTGTGATACTTGATTTTTTTAATGAGATACAGTGCATGCCCTTCCTTGTTGGAACCTGTAACTAATGATCTTTCCTGTTGATTCTTCTTTTGGGGTCTATAATCAACAATTCTTCCTGTAATTAATGTAGGGCTCCCCCTTCCAGCCTCCCAATCTAGATTCCCATGTCCACTTAGTGAGGTTTCTTTTTATTAATTTTGTCGTGTTCTAGACCAAAGGAAAACTGTTGAAATACAAATGGTTATCTTCTACCCTCTGTGACATCTTACCAAGGTAATAACAAGTCATATCCCCTGTATGATTTTAAGGCACACCAAAAGCATAGGGTATAACACAAATTACTGCTTGAATTATCCTGACCTCCATACTCTAGTGTAAGTGGAGGAAGGAGAGGATTATTGGTTCTTGTCTGTGTCCTCCTCCTAATTTGGGAATCACATGCTCTTCCCAGGCGCCCACTGCATCATCTGCTCCTCACCAGCTATTTGTTCCATTATGGGCCACCATTCCTGTAACTGTAGATCAGTGCCCCCAACTCCTGCATACAGTTCTCTTGTAGGATGTTGTTCGCTGTGATGGGTGCAGCATAAGAGTAAATATGAGGCAGGGCACACTTCTGTTTACTGTTTCATCCCTTTGTCCTCCACACCTCCATCACACAAAGTAGTATAGGCCTATTAGACTTAGGAAATGGTTGGAATAAGTTAAGGAAATCACAGTGAGAAAGAGAAAAAAATAATTTAACTGAATGCAAAATCTGCTATAATCACCCAACTCACAGTGTGTTTGATCTGTAGGAGCTCTATTTAAACTGCCTTCCTGGTAATCCCATCAAGACTTCCACTTAAATATCATTAATTAGAAACTAAGACTCCTGGCCACATAGATGGGTGCTTCAAGATGAAAGTCCATATTCTACTCTTGAATTTCTCATGTCACTCTGGTTTCAACCTAGTGAACCCTAGGGAAGGTAGCAAAATTAAGTGCTCTGACCTCCCCCCCCACCATAAGAGAAAGTCAGAGGTTGGAAAACAAAATGAGATCAGTGATACTAATTGATCAAGTTATACATTTTTTGTACATTTCTAGTTTTAGTGTATCAATGGGAGTTACCAGCTAAATAACCTTTATTTTTTCAAAGGTTTATTTATGCATTTGTGAGAGAGGAGGGGGGGCAGAAGGAAAGGGAAAGAGAATCTCAAGCAGACTCCCCACTGACTGCAAAGCCTGACTCGGGACTTAACATAGGGCTTGATCCTACAACCCCAAGATCGTGACCCAGGCCAAAATCAAGAGTTGGACGCTTAACCAACTGAGCCACCCAGGTACCCCTAACTTTTATAATCATTCCAGGAAAGTGAACAAAACATTACACCTTTGCCAGGAGATTGTGTTGTAGATAACTCAGTCTATAATCTTTCTACCCTACCTTCAAGTCTAAGAGCCCCGCCATTTCCTAACCTCTGCTATTTGGCTGCCTGCATATCTTTGGCAAGCTCTAGTCATTTCCTGTGTAGTTGGTCTCATCCCAGGAACTGTCCATGTAGTTCATTCTTCAAGTCTGTCATTCAGTCAAAACAACCCAAATACTTTAGACAACTCTACAGATCAACCAGTCATGGTTGTTAGGTGCTGCAGCCCTACAGAAGAATCCAGATGGGCGCATGAAACCTCCCAGTGTGATCCCTGTTTGTCTCTTCACTGCTGTGACTATCAAATATGCCTCTTTATTAAAATTGCCTAGCCAGGGACGCCTGAGTGGCTCAGTGGGTTGAGCCGCTGCCTTGGGCTCAGGTCATGATCCTTGTTCCTGGGATCGAGTCCCACATCGGGCTCCTTGCTCAGTGGGGGGTCTGCTTCTCTCTCTGCCTCTGCCTGCCACTCTGCCTGCTTGTGCATGCTATCTCTCTCTCTCTGACAAATAAATAAATAAAATCTTTAAAAAAAATTAAAATAAAATAAAATTGCCTAGCCAGTAATGTTCCAACACATGCACACCTTTCAAGGGCAAATGTTAAATCACAGAGACAATATAAAACCTAAAACCCTCAAACTGCCAAAGCGAGTTCTTGCTAAAGACATATCTGATCTGCCTAATGTTGTTTTTATGGTCTTTAAATTTTTTTTTTTTTAAGATTGATTTATTTGACAGAGAGAGACGGTGAGAAAGGGAACACAAGCAGCGGGAGTGGGAGAGGAAGAAGCAGGCTTCCCGCCGAGGAGAGAGCCTGATGTGGGGGTTCAAACAACACAGGACCCTGGGATCATGACCTGAGCCCAAGGCAGACACTTAATGAGTGAGCCACTCAGGCACCCCTTTAAATGATTTTTAAGGGGGAGGCAATTCCCATTTTCCCCCAGTCTCTACTCTTCACTATTATTTACATCCAACTGCATCACCCATTTATATACTGGCCTGGCCTTTGAAAATGTTTGGGTTTGAGTTCCCTGCATCTAAACCCACAAGGATATACACATTTTTCCTAATTACCCTATAATATGTAAATATCTCTCCTCTGTCCTGCTTTTAAACCTTGCCCCTTGGACCTCCAAGTGATAATAGGCCATTCGCAAACCTTGTGAAGTGTTTTTTTTGTTGTTGTTGTTGTTGTTTTAAGATTTTATTTATTTATTTGGCAGAGATCACAAGTGGGCAAGAGGCAGTCAGAGAGAGAGAAAGGGGGAAGCAGGCTCCTGCCAAGCAGAGAGCCCGATGTGGGACTCGAGCCCAGGACCCTGAGATCATGACCTGAGCCAAAGGCAGAGGCTTTGAATACTCCTTAAAGGATCTAGGTAAGTCCTCAGCAAGACTTCACCTCTCCCCCAACCTTTGAACTACTGGAGATGGAGGGGAGGTTTTGTTCTTTGGGCCACATTAATAGTAGCTGTTTTCCAAGTTCCTCCTTAGCTTTCTCACTGATGTTGTTCAGAACACTGATAACTGGGCACCAATTCTTTAAGGATTTAGTTTAATACTTTTTCATTTCCTCTTGTGTGCCATCATACATTTTTATGTGTTCAGCAAACATACTGAGCTCCTGCTATGATTTGGGCACAGTCGGAGCTGGGAGTAGAGCAATGAGCAAAACAAAGCTTCCTGCCCTCATGAAGCTTACAGTCTAGCAAAGGACATAAAACTTCTGGAAAGATGGAAGAGTAGGAGGATCCTAAACCCACCTGTCCCATGAACACCTGTAGAAAACAACTACATCAGAGACCCATAAAACAAGCAGAAGACTAGCAGAACAGACTTCACAGTTAATCGTAGAGAGGAAGCCACATCTAGTAAAAGAAACAATTTCAGTAACCACAGTAGAATCCCTATTGTTAATGTTTGTAATACTGAAGATTTAATAGACTCTAGCTTTAATTTGGAATTATCTCATTCATGTAATCAGGAGATTTTATCTCAACTCGAGTAAAGTAATTGCATGTTGTTAAATACCTACTTAATAATAAAATGGTCAAATGTAACCAGTCTGTGACTAGTCAGCTCAGTAGATACCGAGAGGTATGACGACATTAAGGTCATTAACTCTTGGGCTTATTCTTGGCACAAACTAGTTAATATCTTTAAGTCTCATTGCCACAGACTACTTTGCTAACCTGGGCGGTCCTCCTCCAGAAGCATGCAGTTGAAAACAGGAGAAATCGGGGGATGATAGATTAGGTGTCTGTTAGCACTGTTAGAAAAACAATTTAACCATCCACATCCTGATGATGGTGTTTTAAGAGGCCTGCAGGACAATAGGGTCATTGTGATCAAACGTGGCCCAGGGCAGTCTTCAAACTGAAAGCTCTCAGGCTTACTTCTGTCTCTACCAGCCAGGAGAATCGTGAGGGAGTTCTTTTCCTTGGATAAGATCCTGGTGATGGGACTGCAATCCTTGGATTTCTGCACTGCCTCCGTGGTATAGTCCTCAGTCTTCAAGAGAGTTTCTGAATTAGACTACTAATGCTGGTCATTTTAAGAGCATCACAAATGTGATGAGGGTGTTTTGAGAATTTAAGCTGACACATTCTTATATTCAGACGTGTCTGGAGGACCTGGCTGCCAAGGTTCCATATATGTGAAGGATTAAGAAAGAGCTCATTCTGGGGCACTTGGGTGGCTCAATGGTTTAAGCCTCTGCCTTCAGTTCAGGTCATGATCCCAGGGTCCTGGGATCCAGCCCCACCTTGGGCTTTCTGCTCAGCAGGGAGCCTGCTCCCCCACCCCCAGTCTCTCTGCCTCCCTCTCTGCCTACTTGTGATCTTTGTCTGTCAAGTAAATGGATAAAATCTTTAAAAAAAAAAAAAAAGAAAGAAAGAAAGAAAGAGCTCATTCTAATGGAAGAGAGGACCACAGGACAGGGTAAACCGCAAGAGAGGAGTGATTCTGGGCACAGACCAGACTCATGTTTGAATCCTAGGGAAAGGGAACTAAAATAAAGGGCCTATAAAACCCAAAAGAGTCATTTCCATAAAATCTCTGAGTCATCGGGACCTTAAAACAGCCCTTCCAGGTTGAGTGTGTCACTGTGTGGAGGAAATTTGGGGTGAAGAGTGCTTTTTCCAAGTGGAATTTCTATTGCAAGCGTTCAGAGGCTGAAATGGTCAACATTAGGGCCCCCAAAGAAGCAGGGGTGACGTCACACTTTAGGGAGCACTGGTGACGTAGCAAAGACATCCACGCTTCTGGTGCTTTGGCCCTAGTATCAGTGTGTGTAAACATTTTGGCTTAAGGATGACAGGAGATTGCACTGAAGTGAAGTAGAAAAGAAAGAGTGCCTGTAGGAGTGGTTAAATGTAGTAGCTGGGACTGTGGTTCCACAGATTTCTCACTGTCAGAGAAGGGAGTTGTAAATGTTTATAAAGGGGGAAGGCTGGGATGAATCTGCAGTGTTGGACAGGAATTAGAAAAATCTCTAAGTGTGTGTGTGGGTGTGTGTTTGGAGTTGGGAAGGTTGTCTTCTGAGAGGACCTACCAGCAATGACACACTAGTGCAAATTAGCACACCTAGAACCCAAGTCCTCCTAAATACTATTCTCCATTCACAGAACCAGAGCTTAGAAAAGTGGCTGATTTCAAGATTGGTGCTAGGAGACTAGGAAAACCTGGACCATCTTATTATGTAATAAAGTTAGAAAACTCAAAGAATTTTAAGGACATGTCAAAAGTAGAGTTTGAAGAGATTCCCACTAGATGTGTCAAGGACAATGTAAGTATCATAATTAGTAATGTCAATAACAGATTATAACCCATTGAATAAAATAGGTCTCTGTGAGTCCCACTGGTATAAACAGCCAAACAAATCATAGAGAAAGGCACATTTTTCCTTACAGTAGAATACCAACTAAAAAATATAAAAGGAAGAAAGACTTATGAAATCACCATTTGGCAATCATCATAGTAATAATTGAGTCAGGCAAGAATCATCAATGCATGCTAAAACTAGTGGGTAAAGTTTGATGAGGGACAAGACATGTACATAGTGTCAAAGTATCTCCCCACAAGGCACTTGTTAATGATGAAGGAAAATGCAGTAATTTTAAAGTGGAAAAAATGTAACCAAGTCATTAAAGGTAACTTCAATAGTAACGAACAAATCAACTACTATTATATACTGAGAAGATCACAACGTCACTTCTGTGGTATTTCTGCTAAGAATGCCTCACCTGAAATCTAATCATGAGGAAACATCAGACAAGCCAAGCTGAGAAACACTCTACAAACAACTTGCCTATAACTCTTCATATATGTCAAGGTCATGAAAAACAAAGTATGGAAAATCTAGTCTAGATTAAAAAAGACTAAAGATACTTGACAACTGAATGTTGATCTTGATAACAATGTATGGTCTGGAATTTTCTTTTACCCTAATGGGCATTACTGAGACAACTGAGCAAAATTTGAATAGGTCTATAGATTAGATAGTTTTATCGAATCAATACCGACTTCTTAATTTGTGTAATTATACCGGGATTGTGCAAGAGAATGCCCTTGTTTTTTGGAAATACATACTGAAGTACTTAGAGGGAAAGGGCATCATGTCTACAACTTACAAAAAATAGTTTAGAAAAACAGAAAAAACAAAAAAACAGGAAAAATTTAAATAGTTAAAAGTTTAAACAGAAAAAAGTTTAGAAAAAAATAAATAAATGCAGAGAATACACAAGCATGCACAAGATTGGCCTAGGTTGCTAGGAGAAAGAATTGAAACTAACAAGCATTTTTTACATGACTAGTCAGAAATTCTGAGAATATGCCTCAAAGCCCTTTTTATTTGGTGCCTGGTGCCAATTTATGATGTAAGATATGGTAGCAGCACACATGGCAGAAAATCTTGAGTACCAGTGAGTCATCCTCTGTGTTTGAGACACCTCTAGAACACTCTCCTAACCCAATCAATTTAACTCACCTCAACTTCAATACAACAAGCTCCTCTACCAAAAATTCTTTTTTTTTTTTTTTTTAAGATTTTATTTATGTATTTGAGAGAGAGAGCACAAGCAAGGGGAGGGAGCTATGGAGCAGGGAGCTTGATCCCAGGACCCTGAGATAACGACCAGACCTGAAGGCAAACACTTAACCAACCGAGCCACCCAGGTGCCCAGATTATTTCTTTCTTTAACTTTCATATTCAGATTGAGTTATTGCAGTCTCAAATTCCATGCAACTCTCCTGCTTGAGCAGGAGATGAACAGGATTAATCCAAACAAATTCCAAACACTTATCTTAATATAGAGATAAAATATTTTGGACCTAAATGTCAAAGCTGATTAAGAAACAGCAAAGATAACAGACTGAACCACTACGAGCTTCTCTTTGCTTTATTGTTTGTTCGCTCTCTTTATTATTTCTATATCACTTGTGGGCAGGAAGCAGCCATCTTGAAATACAAATTTTACTTGTTTCTTTGAAAAAAAAAAAAAGAAAAACAAATAGATGGTTTATTCTAAGAATGTACAGGAACTTATATTCTAAACGTCCACAAATACATATTCCAGCAACTCTTATCACCTCAAAACCCTACTACAGCTTCTCTTTAATCTTTTTAAACATCCTGTTACATAAATCGCAGCTGCATCTATAGCAGGAAAAATAATAAGATAATAATTGCTCAAACATCAAAAGCATTTGGGTGGGTCTTACATAGACCTTTAGTCTTCTCTCCCACCAACACCACGTTCTTAAATTTTTTTTTTTTTTTACCCACCCACATTAATGTATTTTTTGTTTGTTGTTTCCTTTCCCCTGAGTAATTACTATGAAATTTTGCCAGGTCAGAAACTGTTCCCAGGAAGAGACCCAGAGTATTAAGAAAGCAGACAAATAGTACCTGAAGATAAGCTATGACTCTTTCCAGGCCTGCCCCTCCTTTGATTTCTTTCTCCATTTGAATGTGATTAATTGGTGGAATTGCACGTCCTCAGTGGGGTATGAGGGAGAGTTCCCCTGCCTGACCTACGCTAGGAATTTCCTATTCACTTTCATGGGAACTTAGAACTGTCCTTACCACCCAGTATTATGGTAAGAACCACACAAACTGTTTTATGAGGGCTGTGAATCTAGTATGTGTATTCCTTCAGCAAGTATTTCTTGATCATATGTTGGAGTTAGAAAGACTTTTAGAAGTCTTTTAGCTTGACCTGTCTTCCAACGCCGGCGTTTCTTCCATAACTTTTCTGGCAAATGGTCACCAGCCAAGACTCGGTTATTAATTAAAAAGACGAGCTCCCCATGGTGTTGGGAATCCCATTTCATTGCTGGACATCTCTCATCATAACTCTTGCTGCTTGCTGTGGTTCTTTGCGACTTCAACAGAATATGTCTACCCCTCCTCCATAGGACAACCCTTCACACATCAGTTGGCTGCTAATTTATCCTAGCTAAGTACCATCACTCATAATGTTTTTTCAAATCATGCTGAATAGTGGATAAACATCCACAAGTTAATAGTAGTTAACTTGGGAAGGTAAGACTGTGGTTGTTTTAAAAATTTCTTGCTTGTGTATAAATTCTAATTTTCACAATAAATATTTAATTTAATAACTGACAATATGAATTATTTTTATTGGATTTGTTCTAGATGCCAGTCCTGGAATGCATATATAATTATCCTTCAGTAACCCTGAGAGATAGGACCTATAATTGTCCCCATTGTACAGATGAAGAAAGTAAGGCACAGAGGGATTAAATAATGTGCCATGATCACAAAGTAAGTGACTAAAAAGAGATTGGAACCCAGGTTTGCCTAATTCTTGACCATTCCCCTTTAACAAGAAAAACAATTTTTGTGAGGGGTGAGAGACATATTTGTTTTTAACATGGTGTCCAGAAATTGATACAATATGCTAGGTTTGATCTGAACACTGTAATTATTACATCCTTTGATTTGGACACAGTACAATCTATTAATGTCCCTAAGACTTCATTTGATTTTTTAGCTCCTGTTACATGACTCTTATAGGAGCTTTCAAAATATCCTTTGGCTCTTATTTCATTTTTTCACCTTGACTCCCTCTTTGCCCCTCCTCCTTTGTCACCCTAACAGCTCTTACCCCTCCGTCACGATTTTTTCAACCTAGTTAACATTTCTCTTCACGCTCCTATAATCTTTTTTTTTTTTTTAAGATTTTATTTATTTATTTGACAGAGATCACAAGTAGGCAGATAGGCAGGCAGAGAGAGAGAGAGAGAGAGAGGAGGAAGCAGGCTCTCCGCTGAGCAGAGAGCCCGATGTGGGGCTCGATCCCAGGACCCCGGGATCATGACCTGAGCCGAAGGCAGAGGCTTTAACCCACTGAGCCACCCAGGCGCCCCACGCTCCTATAATCTTATAGACACATACAAATGTACACATATTCAATATAGATTTTCTTTGTAATTTAAGAAGTGACTACATTTTTGCCTCTCACTTTTACTTAAAACAATTTCTTGGGGCACCTGGGTGGCTCAGTGGGTTAAAGCCTCTGCCTTCGGCTCAGGTCATGATCTCAGGGTCCCGGGATCAAGTCCCGCATCGGGCTCTCTGCTCAGCAGGGAGCCTGCTTCTCCCTCTCTCTCTCTGCCTGCCTCTCTGCCTACTTGTGATCTCTGTCTGTCAAATAAATAAATAAAATCTTTAAAACAAAAAACAATTTCTTATATAAAATCTCTCTAAATCAAATTCATTCCTTTTAATGGATGTCCTAAATTGTGGGTGTACTATAATTTTTTGCAACAATTCCCCTATTGATGGGCATGCATGGTATTTATAATGTGGATGTGTGTGCATGTGTGTATATGTAAGTTGACATAGAAAATATTGCTTTAATAAATAACCTGGTACATATGTACTATGTATGTATGTATGTATATATGTACTATGTTCTTACTTAAATAGTTTTCTTGCAACTAGTGGTTTACTTTAGTAGGATAGATTCCCAGAACTGAGTTTGGTGGGTCAAGAGGTATATATATTTTTAAAGATTTTATTTTTAAGTAATCCGTATACCCACTGGGGGACTTGAACTCATAACCCCGAGATCAAGAGTTGCAGGCTCTACCAACTGAGCCAGGCGCCCCGAGGGGTATATATATATTTTAAATAATAGCTATTGCCAGATTGCTTTTTCAAAAAGCCTTTAATACTTTGTATTTCCATAGCAGCACATGAAAATGCTCTATATCCTACATCCCTGCAGCAACAGGTATTATAGAAGTCATTCTAATAAAAGCCTGTGAAACAAGAGATCAAAGGAAACTACTTAAATCTAATAAAAATTATGTACTCCAAATCAACAGCAGTTATAATCCTAACTGGCAAAATATTAAAACTCTTTCCTTTAGGGGTGCCCGGGTGGCTCAGTCAGTCAAGTGTCTGCCTTCTGCTCAGATCATGGCCCTGGGGCCCTGGGGTCCTGGGGTTGAGCCCCGAATCAGGCTCCCTGCTGAGCAGTGTGTCTGCTTCTCTCTCTCTCTTTGCCCCTTTCCCCCACTCTTGCTCTCTCTCAAGTAAATAAATACAATCCACACACCAAAAAAAAAAAAACCTCTTTCATTTAAAATCAGGTACTGCACCTTAAGCTTTTAATTAAATATACCTAACTGGGGTGCCTGAGTGGCTCAGTGGGTTAAGCTTCTGCCTTTGGTTCGGGTTATGATCTCAGTGTCCTGGGATCAAGCCCTGCATCAGGCTCTCTGCTCAGTTGGGAGCCTGCTTCCCCCTCTCTCTCTGCCTGCCTCTCTGCCTACTTGTGATCTCCCTCTCTCTCTCTCTGTCAAATAAATAAATAAATAATATCTTTAAATAAATAAATAAATATACCTAACCAGGTCTTTTTGACTCTTAACTTTAAAATTGATGTACAATGTATATAGAAAAATGAGGACAAATCATAAGGGCACAGATCAATGAATCCTTACAAAATAAACACATCCGAATAACCACCATTTAGGTCAAGAAATTGACATTAGCAATACCTCAAAAGCCTTCCTCATGCCCCCTCCTAATCATTGCCCTCTTCCTCCTTCCTCAAGAGACCACAGAATAGTTTTGCTTGGTTTTGAAGTATGTAGAAAGAGAATCATGCAGTATACACTCTTTGGTGTGTGTCTGATTTCTTTCCCTCAGCACTACCTTAGTGAGGTTTCTCCATGTAGCAGATATCAGTGGTTCACTCATTTTCATTGCTGCACAATAGTTCATTGTATGAATAATATACTACAATTAATTACCCATTCTGGGTTTTTTTTTTAATATTTTATTTATTCATTTGTCAGAGAGAAAGAGAGCACACGCACAAGCAGGGGGAAGCAGCAGGCAGAGGAAGAGGGAGAAGCAGGCTCCCCACTGAGCAGGGAACCCAATGTGGGACTCGATCCTGGGACCCCAGGATCATGACCTGAGCCAAAGGCAGATACCTAACCGACTGAGCCACGAAGGCTTCCACCCATTCTGTTTTTGATGGGCTTTCAGGTCCTTTTGAATCTGAAACCTGTCATCCAGTATATTAGCCACCAATACTCTCCCATCTTTGTATCATCAGAAATTTGGAAGATCACACCATTCATTCATTCATTCACTTATTTTTAAAGATTTATTTATTTGAGAGAGAGAGTGAGTGAGAGGAGAACATGAACCAGCAGAGTGAGAGAGAAAGAGAAAAGAAAGCATGACAGCTCCCACTGAACAGGGAGCCCAATGTGGGGGTCTTAATCCCAGGACCCTGAGATCATGGCCTGAGCTGAGGGCAGGCGCTTAGTCGACTGAGTCACCCAGGCACCGCAGTGATCACACCATTTTTGTCTACATGCAAATCATGGACATTTACCCATTTGACAGGACCAGGCAGGTTTGTGTCAAACAATTAGAGATCTCCCTTCAGGTTAGCCTTAATACACTAATAAATAGTATTTGGGCAAGTTCTTCAATTCGCTAACATGGTAGCTGTCTGTAGTGTCGTTTAGCGGAAACAAAATTTACTGAAGGTGTACTATGTTCGACCTTTCTACGTACTGACGGGATGAAGCCGTGAACCAGAGAGACCATGGAATTTACATTCTAGCCGATGAGACAAATGTACACAAAAAGCAAATAATTTAGGTAATTTTAGCCAAGTGCATGAGGAAACTGAAACAGGGCAACACAATAAGGAGTGCTGAGAAGGGAGGCAGACAACTTGTGGAGCTAGTTGCATGAAGACTGGGACTAGTAACAGCCAGACAAGGACATCAGCAAGTACACAAGCCCTGAGGAGGAGATAAGCTTCAAGAAACAGGAAGGCTAGTGTACCTAGAGCCAATTGTGAATGGAAGCAAGTTGAGGAGAGGTAGACAGGAACCAGATCACATTTCCAGTTTTAAAGTCCTAAATGTCTAACTGTAATGATGAGACGGATAAGAAGATACAACACCCAGATATCCTTTTAAGGAAGTGCTTGGTGCCTAGAAATGAAGAGTGTGGTCAGCAGACAGCCTGGAGCTGGCAGCTCTCAGAGTCTTGCTGCCTGAGGACATACTCCGCTTAGAGCAGACCACATCTTTGACTGAGTGGGCGTGGATATAAATGCTCACTCCTTTTGATCTGGTACCGGGCAATTGTAACCAACAGTACTCAGTGCAGAGCTCCCTGATGGGTTGGCCCAAGCTCTACTGGGCCATGTATCACTGATTTCTTCCTCTGCTCAGTCCTGCTTCCTTTCCTTTCCTTTCAGAGGTGTCAAACCCTGATAAACATCTCAGATCACAGACTTGGTCTCCATATCTGTGGAAAACTCAGTCAGTTACAAATGGGGAGCCACTGAAGGATTTTACGCAAAGAATTCAAATGGTCTGGGGTGCCTGGGTGGCTCAGTGGGTTAAGGCCTCTGTCTTCTGCTCAGGTCATGATCCCGGGGTACTGGGATCGAGGCCCCATCGGGCTCTCTGTTCAGCAGGGAGCCTGCTTCCTCCTCTCTCTCTCTGCCCGCCTCTCTGCCTACTTGTGATCTCTGTCAAATAAATAAATAAAATCTTAAAAAAAAAAAAAAGAATTCAGATGGTCTGATTTTGTTTTTAGATCACTCCAGCTGCTGTACAGAGAATGGATTGTGGAAGGTAAAAGTGAAAACAGTGGCCTTGGAAAAGAGATGGCGGTGGCCTCATCTAGGGGGGAGCAGAAGTTAGGGAAGAAGTGGGTAGATTTGGGACCGAATTTGGTTATAAAACTGATAACCGTGGTTCTTCCCAAGCGCTTTGATCAAATGTCTTTCTAGAAATAGATTTAGTGTGTCTGTATTTCTTTTAATTACCTGTCCAGTCATCATTTCAAGAAAGGAAATAGCCATGGGGCTCCTGGCTGGCTTAGTTGGAAGAGTGTGTGACTTTTGATGTCAGGGTTATGAGTTCAAGCCCCACATTGGGTGTAGATATTACTTCAATAAATAAAAACTTGTGGGGGAGAAAAAAGGCATTGGCACCTGGGTGGCTCAGTTGATTAAGCATCTGCTGTCTGCTCAGGTCATGATCCCAGGGTCCTGGGATCGAATCCTGTATCCTGCTCCCTGCTCAGCAGGGAGCCTGCTTCTTCCTCTCCCTTGCTGCTCCTCCTACTTATGCTCTCTCTGTGTCAAATAAATAAATAAAATCTTAAAAAAATAAAAATAAAAAAAGAACTAGCCTGTGTGGTATGGCCCTTAGTTGGGTAGTCACACTCTTGTACTCACCTGTTGAATGTTTTAGCCATGTCAGCTTTTTCTCTGTCCCTCTAGCATGCCAAGTTTATTGCTGCCTCATGCATTTTTCACATGTGGTTTTTGGGTTGTCTCTGCAGCACTCCCTAAACTCTGCCCATCTACATCCTATTCATCCTTCAGGGCTCTGATTACATGCTGCCTCTACACAGAGGATTTCTCTAGCATTGCCCCCTCCTGCAGTGAGGCTAGTTCCTCTAATTATGCGCTCACACAAATCCCTATGTTTTCTTTCGTAGCACTTATCACAAGTTGCAATTATGCTATAATTTTTGTTGTTATTTGTCTTCCTTAGTAGAGTCCCACAAGGGGCAGGAACATACCTGTTTTGTTTTCTGCTTCATCCTGAGTGCCTTGCCCAGTAACTAGGACAAGGAGGTGCACAATAAATATTTGTTTAATGAATGAACTTGCCCTTAGTGGATCCATGTTGGTGTCTAGACAATTGCTTTAAGTGCTCTTTTTTTTTTTTTTTTTTTAGGATTTCTTAATTTATTTGAGAGAGAGAGAGAACATGAGCCGGGGGTCAGGGCAGGGGACAGAGAGAGAGAGAGAGAATCTCAAGCAGACTCCATGCTGAGCGCAGAGCCCAATGAGGGCTCCATCTCATGACCCTTAGATCATGACCTGAGCTGAAACCAAGAGCTGGGCGCTTAACCAACTGCACCATCCAGGTGCCCCAATTCCTTTAAGTGCTCTTAAAACATCTTATAGTAATCCATACCAAAATCTCCAAGGGATTACTGACGATTTTCAGACTGTGGTTTTTAGGATCTCATTTTTTCTACACACATACACACACAAACATTTTTTTGGAGTAAAATTTAGTTATTATATTATATGGAGGTAATTTTAAAATAGTACCGAATACTTATAATGAAAAAAATAATAATAACCCTGCTCTATTCCCTAGTCTTACTGTCTAGATAGGCAACTACTTTAAACTCAACAGTTTTGACCAATCCTCTATGTTTAAAAGAAGTCCTTATTCACACTTAAAAATCAATACATCTCACCTTCTGACACTTCTCCCACTGTCAAAATAGTTTTTAGGTTTTCATTGGTGATTTGTCATCACACTGGCGATTTCTTCCACCATCTTTCAGTATTTGGGACTAGAAATCTTGGCTTTGTTAAAAGTGGCAGAGTATCTCTTATCTCACCTCAGTGGAACTTCAAATTTCTCACCTGTTTGTTCTTCCCCTTCCAGCATGAAAATTATCTTTCTTTTTTTTTTTTTTTTTTTAAGATTTTATTTAGTTGTTCAACAGAAACAGAGAGAAAGCACAAGCAGGAGGAGCAGCAGGCAGAAGGAGAAGCAGACTCCCCACTGAGCAAGGAGCCTGATGCCGGACATCCCAGAACCTCGGGATTATGACCTGAGCCCAAGGCAGATGCTTTACCAACGGAGCCACCCAAGTGTCCCTATCTTTCTTTTTTTCAATGAGCTGTAATTCACATACCATAAAATTCACCTTTTATAAAAGGTATCTTTCTTAAAGAAGATGGAAAGAAAAGCAGACCTTCCCTGGTTTATCAGCAGACATGCTACTGCTTTCTAGAAGCAATGTCCCCTGCCCTCCTCAAAGGATGGCTGTGGGTTCCAAAGCCAAGGTAAGGAGGGAGGGCAGTGTGAAGGTAGAATTCGATGCAGATTGATTCTTTACACAATTTGGACTGTTCTGCTACCCAGGTCCAATTTAAGAGCCTCTCGTGCTCTAGGCTCCCTTCTGAGATCTTTGTAGTATCCAAATATGTATTAAAATATCCAATCACATTCCAAATCAGATATCAAAATTCACTATAAAAATGTTAACAGAATTTTATATAATTTATCTTTTGAAATTATTAAGTTATGAACAAGTAATGTTTAATATGTGTTTGGTTATCATTTCTCAAGAATTATCATATCTTGTGAATTTGTATAGAATGAAATAAAATTTAACCTTCAAATACTGTTCTTTTTTTTTTTTTCTTAACATGCAGTGCTATCTTAGTTTCAGGTGTACAGTATAGTGACTCAACACTTCCACACATCACCTGTACTCATTACAAGTGCTCCCCTTAATTCCCATCATCTGTTTTACCCACCCCCCCCCCCCCCCCCACTCCCTCACACACCCAAATATTTATATAAAATCTTAAAAAAAAAAATTCTAGGGTTGCCTGGGTGGCTCAGTGGGTTAAACCTCTGCCTTCAGCTCAGGTCATGATCTCGGGGTCCTGGGATCGAGGCCTGCATCAGGCTCTCTGCTCAGCGGGGAGCCTGCTTCCCCCTCTCTCTCTGCCTACTTGTGATCTCTGTCAAATAAATAAAATCTTAAAAAAAAAAGTCTGTTTCTTTTTTTTTTTTAAGATTTTTTTTTGAGTAATCTCCACACCCAACGTGGGGCTCAAACACACAACCCTGAGATTAAGAGTCACATGCTCCACTGAGTGAGCCAGCCAGGCTCCCAAAGAGTCTGTTTTTTGTTTTGTCTCTTTTTCGTTAACCCTCAGATACTTTCCAAATGTAATAAACTCCTTTTGAATGTTAATTACATAATTAGTGAACTTGACATGTTACATGTGTAGACATTTAATTGTTTTATTTATTTCCAGAAAACTGATGGTACACAAACATAACTTTTGTTTTAGATGGTACTATTTTTTAAATTATGTGGTAAACAAATCCACCAATCCAGAAAAGTATAAATAGAAAAGTAAAGTCCTCTTTCATATCAGTCATTCCCTTTTTCTAGAGTCTACAGGTAACCACTGTTGAGTGTGTTTTTTATGTCCTCCCAGAAAATTTGCATACATATCCCAGCATGAAATATATTTATAAAAACACACAAATAGTATTGCATTATATATGTTGTTATACATCATGCTATTTTCACTTTATAGATACTGTGGGAGTTTTTTTTCTTATGTATAGATATGTCTCATCATTTTCAAATGTTGCATAACATTCCACAAGATGAACTATAATGTATTGAGTGAGGTGCCCTATAAACATAACTTTTAAGAAATGCTCATCTTGGGGCGCCTGGTTGGCTCAGTTGGTTAAGCAACTGCCTTCAACTCAGGTCATGATGCTGGAGTCCGGCTCCCTGCTTGGCAGGGAGTCTGCTTCTCCCGCTGACCTTTCTCCACTCATGCTCTCTCTCATTCTCTCTCTCTCAAATAAATAAAATCTTAAAAAAGAAAGAAAGAAATGTTCATCTTTTTTTAAAGTAGTGGCCTTGTGGGGGGCGTCTGGGTGGCTCAGTCATTAAGCTTCTGCCTTTGACTCAGGTCATGATTTCAGGATCCTGGGATCGAGCCCCGCATTGGGCTCTCTGCTCTGCAGGAAGCCTGCTTCTAGCCTCTCCCACTCCCCCTGCTTGTGTTCCCTCTCTTATTGTGTCTCTCTCTGTCAAATAAATAAATAAAATCTTAAGTAAATAAAGTAGTGGCATTGTGGGTGACTTTTTCTGCTTTTACGTGGAACTGTATTAATGTTCTACTGGTCGAGTAACTAAATTTTTAAAAAAATTATTAAACATGGGGCACCTGGGTGCCTCAGTCAGTTGAGCATCTGCCTTTGGCTTAGGTCATGATCCCAGGGTCCTAGAATCGAGTCCTACATTGGTGCAGGGAGCCTGCTTCTCCCTCTCCCTCTGCTGCTCCCCTTGCTTGTGCTTTCTCTCTCCCTCTATGTCAAATAAGTAAATAAAATCTTTAAAAAAAATTTATTAAGCAAAAAAAATAAAGGGGTGCCTGGGTGTCTCAGTGGATTAAGCCTCTGCCTTCGGCTCAGGTCATGATCTCAGGGTCCTGGGATCGAGCCCCACATCAGGCTCTCTGCTCAGCAGGGAGCCTGCTCCCCGCCCCCTTCCCTGCCTGCCTCTCTGCCTACTTGTGATCTCTCTCTCTGTGTCAAATAAATAAATAAAATCTTAAAAAAAAAAAAAAAAAAGAACTATCCCTTAGAGTGTGATTTGCCATAACAAATTGAATAGGAGACTCTGGATGTCAGTAAAGACTGGAAAGGGGCATTTGAAACCACCTATTCAGGAGTAGATAATGCCCCCTAATTACATTTTCAGTAGAGACCAAAACCAAATTATTGGGAGTTAAGAGTCGGGAGTGCAGACAATTTGTTAAGGGAGTTTGACAAAGAAGGACAGAAACAGGACAGAACCTTTAGCGGCAAAGCTGGGCAAAGGCTTTGTTCTGAGTTGGAAAGACACAGACAAAATAGGTGTAAGCCCTGTTTCCTTAGCTATTTCAGCTGCAAGCCTGAAGAAGACCTGATTAACAGTGGAAAGTTGATAGAGGGCTCTTTCAAACCTCTCTTGTTATTTTACCATCAAAAACAAACCGAGGGTTGAAGGGTTGACAGAGGGAGGTAGGTGGGGATGGGCTAACTAGGTGGTGAGTATTAAAGAGACACTTGTAATGAGCAGTGGGTGTTATGCATAACTGATGAATCACTAAATTCTACTTCTTAAACTGTTACACTATAGGTCAACTAACCAGAATTTAAATAAAATTTGAAACAAAAAAAAGAAGAAAAAAAGAGAGCAGGGGTTAAGGGTCTTCATAAATTATGCTCTTGAGAGATCAGTGGCAGGGAGTTAGGAAGGGGAGGAAGGCGCTTGATTTATGTATTCCTCACATTTCGCCCGCAAGCAAAATCTAGTTTGTGTCTAGCTGGCTCTTCCAGAAAACATGGGGCTGTCGGGAAAATGTGTCACGTTTAAAATCCTAAAATTAGATTCGCCTTACTGAGGGCTCCTCTGGGGCTTCCCCAGATGGGCGTATGGTTTGAGGATGAGAGTGGGGAGAAAAAAAATAACCAGAGGAAATAATTATTAGGTTGGTGAACAGAAAGACTATTAGGCAAAAGTACTGAGTTTGACCATTTCCCTTTTCCTGTGTAGTTCTGGAAGTAATATCCCCATCTTTGCTTTAGTGGGAAGATTCATGCTCACTGGGGGAAATTTCCTGCTTGTTTGAAGGGGACGGTAGTACTGGGCTAGTGGAGATGTATTTTGGACAAGGCATTGGATCTTTCCACACTTGTCATCATACCGTGCGAACCGCTCTCTCTCTAATACCCAGAACTCTCTGTGTGGGGGCTGAATCACGGTCTCTGGATACCTTATGCTGGTCAGGCTGGCTGGGAGGGCAAAGGAGGGAGAGTAAGTGACTTTTCACATTATGTCTTTTGAATTTTGTATTTTTGAATTTTGTCTTCTGAATTTTGAATTTTGTATCTTTTGAATTTTATATTGTGAACATGTATCATTTTATTTAAAAAAATTTAAGTTGTTGTTTTAAAGGCTTGATTAAGGCTGGGAAGCAAAATTGAAGGCTTTGTTCCTTCTGGTCAGAATAGACTTCTGGATTTGCTCTGTTTCATGACCTACTTATTCCTCTGATTTGTGACTTCATAATGTGACCTTTTAGCTGAAGAACCTCTCCCTGCAAACCTCCACCCCAGCCCAGTTATCTAATCTACACAGGTCCGTTCATATGTAACATCTCATTTTCTTCCACCCCACTTTTTGTTTCCCATCAGCAAACAAAATATCTTGTTAAACACAGACTGTCTACCTCAAGTTTGAGATCAGAGTTACAGTCAGATACCTGCCCTGCGATTTACTAGCTATGTGACCTTCTGCAGGCACATAAAATGTTCTGGGGTTTGGTTTCCTCAAGTGGGGCTGTGGACGGTGTACGCGCTAAATCAGGGGTCAAAGTGGGTGGGTTCAACTTCTGGTTCTGCCGCATTGTTGCTGTGTGCCCTTAGACATGCTGCCCGGCCTGTGAGCCTTAGTGTCTCTGAAATGGACAAATCTTACTTTGGGGAGTAAGGGAGGTTGTAAAACTGAGGTAAAAGATGCAAGGTGGCTGGCATCCAGGACACAGGGTTCCTTTCCCCCTATTAGCTTTTTTTCTTCCTCTTCATTTCCTTCTGATTTTTTAAATGATTATCATTATTATTTTTAAATATTTTGTTTATTTGAGAGAGAAAGAGAGGGAGAGAGGACAGGAGCAGTGGGGAGGGACAGGGAGAGAGGGAGAAGCAGGCTCCCCGCCGAGCAGGGAGCCCCATGTGGGACCCCGGGGTCATGATCTGAGCCTAAGGCAGAAGCTTAACCAACTGCGCCATCCAGGCGCCCCTCTCTGCTTTTTTAAAAAGTTAATTATTATTTTTTTAATTCAGATCCCCCCCCGTGTTATCTGAATAATAGCCCTTGCCTCTCACGGGGCTTTATAAACTGCAAAGCAGAAAG